TACGAAAAAGGCGATGGCCCAACAAAAATATTTCGTGATTTAAATGGTGGTTTGTGTTTGAAAACAATTAACCGATGGTGCAAAATGATCCGCGAGACCGGCGCTATTCAACTATCATATCCACCCGTTCGCCCACGAACAGTTCGAACCGTGGCATCAATCACGAAAGTAAAGAATCGATTAAAACGGAGAAAAGTGGTATCATCGAGAAAATTGTCGTCTGAATTGGATATTTCTCGAACAAGCATGAGACAAATACTCAAGAATGACTTGGGATGCCGTGGCTACAAGAAAATAGTTGAACCACTGCTCACTGATGCTCACAAAGCCGGAAGAAAAAAGTTTACAAATTGGATTCGAAATAATTTTCGAAAAGAACAAACAATGAAAATCCTTTTTTCGGATGAAAAAATATTCGATACTAACGGTGTTTACAATTCTCAAAACGATCGAATATGGGCGGTAGATCGAGCTGAAGCTGATAAAAATGGTGGAATTAAACAACAACAAGGATTTCCGCAAAAAGTGATGGTTTGGTTGGGGGTATGTTCAAAAGGCGTTACCCCATTGGTAATTTTGGACACAGGGACGGTAGATCATGTTCGATACATCAAAGAAGTCCTTCCTGTGGCTTTGAAATATGGAAACAAGGTTTTTGGAGATGACTGGACATTTCAGCAGGACAATGCACCAGCTCATAAAGATGAAGAAACACAAGAATGGTGTCGAAAACATTTACCGTCATTTATTCCAAGGGAACGGTGGCCTGCCAATAGTCCCGATCTTAATCCTTTAGACTATTGTATTTGGGACGAATTTGTTACGGCTATCAAATGGAACAAAGTGACATCAAAAAGAACTCTGATTGAGGAATTGAAGCGGGCGGTAAAAAAAATTAGACAAGAAGTTATTTTAGAAAGTTGTGAATCTTGGACCGTTCGTTTGTCAAATATTTCTAAAAACAGTGGATGTTATTTACGTTAATAAAAACCATTGATTTTATACAGAATTGAATAAGGAATCTTTCAAAAAAAAAATTAAGTTTTTAGGATAAAAGGGGGATGAGTTATGAAAAAAATACGGAGAGGGACATTATTTATGGCCCACCCGTTATTAGTTAATTTTCTTTTCAGTTCTTTCCTTCTGTGTCTGTCTTGGCTTCATTTTTCTCTTTTCTATCGCATATAGATCTCACACTTTTATCGTTCTGAAATCTGATTCATTCTCAGTAGAAGAATATCTGCGAGGATTCATTCTTACATAACATGTGTTGGTGTTTTATTCACTCATATTTTTCACAAGATTGTGAAGTGAAAATGAGTTCATGAATGTTTGGAAATGTGTCTGATCGTGATTTGGTGGTCATAATGCTGTGAAGAAGACTTCTATATGGAACAAGGTGTGTACTAGTAACAGTAGAACTATTTATGCAATCACTATCGCACAGGCTCTTCTCTTGCGTATGTATTCAGAGGAATTATTATAGAGTTGATACAATCAATGCAGTGTTTAAATCACGTTTCGACTTATTATTCACCAGTCAACGTATCAGTAGAAGAGTGATGTTCTTCATCATAATTCTAGTAACATAACGGTGTAACTTAACCTTCACCAGTTAAAATCGAAGTGTGATTTAAACAACAGTTATATTTTTGTAATATTAGTTATAAAAAATTGTCGATGATAGAACGAGTTGCGCTGTAGAATTTGAGAAGAGAATAATTTTCTTTTGCCAATTAAGCCTTTTAGTTACAGACTCTATGAGATTTAATGATTGATTTCTATTTATTAACAATGGAAGAACGAAACTTTCAGGTTTATATAAAAACATGTTTAATCTCCAATCCCCTTGAATTACTAAAACATGTGTAGTAGTGAAGAGTCCTTACTAGGCCTTCTTTTAAGCTTTTTAAACATTACACAATCTTTATTCATGCCTCAAGTCGACATGCATGGTGAAATACATGATTCGATCCAGTTTTGTCTCTAGATTTTGTATTGGTGATGACAAAAATACAAAATAAGCGGACTGCCTCGGTACTGAACACCCATTTTTGTTAACTGTAAGTAGACCGTTGATCTACTTTTAGTCCGAATCAACTTTTTTTATAGTAGGATAGAGGACTGAATTTTGCACAAAATAAGACTAAAATAAAGTTCAAATCTTTGATCGTTTTTTGAATAGAATGATTTTACTAACGCAGTATCGAAATTGCTGCTTCAAAAGTGTAAGTTACATAAATTTTACGGTAAAATGCATTTGTCAAAAAAGGCAGAAGGGCATTAAAAAAGGTTTCTATCACATAAATACCCAGTGCCCAAACTTTTTAGTGTTTACAAGAACCATACAGCGTCAAGCCCTAACAAGCATATAGCTCGAAAGGCGGCATCCTTACGGGTAAAATTAAATTTGATTTTAAAACAATAGGCCTAATAATAAAAATCACTTGAAAGGAAGCATTTCTACCTTCACACTTCTTGGGATTTATCGGTTCGTTGGTCTTTGTGATTTATAGTTAGCAATTCATGAGTTATAGCATTTTTAAGCTGCATTCTGTCCAACGTTACCAAACAAGAAGCCTAGTTTATCACTACACTTTCACAGTTCATACGAAGGACTGAAAGGATTCTTGTTCAAAATGGGGGTAGGACAGTTCCAGTTCCTATAGGTCCTAAGAACTGGTCACCAGTTCCGTTCCTGCTGCACGGGAACTGGTTACCAGTTCTTTTCAAGGATTCAAAATAAAATGAAATCGATGTGGCTAGTTATATTGACTTGATTTAGTCGACTAAACACGCCATCTACTTCTGGCGCACTACACAAAGTCAATGTAAGTAGGTTCACCGGTTTTATTTTAATTCTTTGAAAAGTAGTACCAGTCCCCGTTCAAAATGAGTGAACTGGAACTGTCCCTCCCCTAGTTCAAAGTTTCTCAGACACTTTCAATCCAGTTTATTCATACCATTCAACTTCATCAGTATACTCCTTTTCTTTTCCTTATTGATTTTTATTCGATTAGATTCTTTTTTTTGCGTAGGTGAGAGAAAATATTGACTATGTATCTAATAACTTGTCTTAACGTGAGAACTCCGATTAAACATATTAATCACATTTTGATGAAAAATAATGCTGTTCTGATGGTAAGTTGACTGATGAACGATAGGTAGAGAAGAAAATCGCAATGATTGCATCAACTCAGTAAACAACAAAAGGCGTTTTCTTCTTATTCTTGATTGTTTTCGGGCTCCAAGCTGACAGAGAGCATGATAAGTGTGCAATTTTGAAACTGTTGCACGTTTCGGGCATTTCGATCATGCCCAAAACAATATTTCATTTCCGTACTCAAATCAAGAGCTAACTATTCGAAACCAAGCATATCTACCGCATAATCACAGTGTTTGGTCAGTATGAACTGTGTATTCGGGTCATGTTGTTATCAATGTGTATGAATTCGATGTTGACTCTCGACCTTTTGTGTTAAGGATCGAAATGTTCTAATTACTCAGTATCTGTTCGTATATGCACGCAAAAGGAACATTTTGTGAAATCTGATATGTTGATGTCTGCCTTGGACACACGCCAGTAGTTCCACTTTCCGTTTTTACTATCGATTAACAAAGATGTGTATGCCCAACGTTCTTCATTTCACTTCATATGTGAATTCAAGGAGAGAACAGAGAGTGGAGCTCATGTCGTAAATAGACATTCTAAAACATATGTGTCTGTAACATCGTTCGCTCTGTTCATTACATTGTTCATATTCTTTGAAATTTGTTTCTTATCTGTTCCCTAACGATAATCGTGTAAATATTTGGCAAAGTTTCTTTAATCTTTTGTGCCGTCTCAATGACATGGTTGTAGTGTATTAGTTAATTTTCTTTTCAGTTTTCTCTTGTGTCAACCTTGGCTTCATTTTTCTCTTTTCTATCGCATATAGATCTCACACTTTTATCGTTCTGAAATCCGATCCATTGTCAGTAAGAGAATATCAGCGAGTGTTTATTTCAACATAAATGTGTTCATGTTTTATTCACTCATATTTTTCACGAGATTGTGAAGTAAAAATGAGTTCATGAATATTTGAAAATGTTTCTGATCGCGATCTGTTGGGCATAATGTGAAAAAACTCTGCATCGAAGATAATTGAGAGATGAAGGCCTATGTGCTACGAAAATCAACGTTCCCTTGAATGTCGACGTGAGACGCATTGAGAAGTTTGAAATGCTTAACGAATGGGATCTAACTTGTTCTCCAGTTCAAAAGTTTGTTTTAAACAAGTTTATTTGAAAATAGCACCAAAGCAGACATGGTTCATTACATGTTGCAAAAAAAACAGGCTTTAAGTTATACAGATACATGAATAAATAGAGAAAATCTACCGGTGACTTACACAAATTAATTTTCAAGCATTTCATCACACAGTTAGGAATCGTGTAGGTAAAAACCCGAAGTGTTAAGAGTTTTAGAATCAATACTTTTAAGCAATTGTTTTCATAAAGGAACCACGAAGTACACATCACTGACGAAAGTGTCATGTTTCTATGATATACTGTGACAAGTCATCAGAAACAGGTTGAAATTTGGGATGTCCAAGAAATGAGAAAGATTAATGTTTTAAGAGTACGTGCCAAAAGTAGAAATTATATTTTCAAGTACATTTTCTAACATAAAGTATGCCTTGCGTTTGAATTTTGAGCACATTCTATACAAAAATGTTTCATCGAAACAGATCATTATTTAGCTGGGTAAGACCTACTCGAAAGCGTATAAAAACAGTTTCCGCTACTCAACCGTGAGCTGATTTAGATAAACTATTGTAAGATAAGAAGACTTTAATCTGCTTCTAAAGCTAGCGAAGTCATTGATGGATCTTAACACATCAGATAGATTATTCCAAATTTCTTTCTGTAAAATTCATATTGGCAGTGTGGAGACTTATCCCGGTCGGGATATCATTTTTTACAGCAAAATTTTTTTATGTCCCAAACGGGATATACTTTGAAATTATATCCCGATTGAGATATCAAAAAAATCTGTATCCCAATCAGGATATCAAAAATTTTAATTTTTAATTTGTGAGAAAATGATTAGTTATTTTATGGCATCGAAGTTAGATTTTGGAAATTTTTCGAATTCTGAATGTTCGAAAATTTCGTCAGCGAACATTTGCCGCGTCTCGAGAAAACTTCGTTTGTATCGACATCTATGATTCAGAACTATTCATAATATCTGACAATATACTCTGATCAGAACATACGACTGTTGTATGACAGCTATGTAGTAACATTATACATGAATCACTGTGATTTTTATGTGTGCTTGTGTGAAGTGTCGGAGTCCGTTACTAGGATTCTCTTCGTTCAATAAGTTCAAAAATAGTTTGCTGCCTACGCAGTTTTATAGTCTCAACATCGAACATAGGGAAGTATGATTGATTCTTTCATCACAACTAATTACAGTATGCTGAAATTGATAGAAATTAGATGCTATACTTGAATTCATGGTTGGTATTGATGAACTGGATGCCTGCAGCTCAAAGAAGCAGAAAAAAGCTCAAAAGCAACGAATACTCAACAGCTTGATTTTCTGTATAACAAGCTTTGATCTGGTACTTCTTAGCAAAGATTCTGGACTTCAAAACGTTCAAAGAGCTGGGTCTACCATTTGTCGACTGCTGACACATAGAGTGCCAAGTGGCTGAAAAAACAGTGTGAAACTGAACAAAGTCGTTATTTTAAGAATTTGATGACTTACAAAAATCTTCTGAAAATTTCGGTTGGAAAGTCGGATTAGAAGGCCATCCTGAAAAGTTTGATCTGCTGGGGCGTGGTAGAAACCATGTCCTTCTATCTTGAGGGAGCGTGTATTGTAAGTTTTGTAGTAGTTGAAAATCTCTTTGCGTAGTTCCATAGCAGATAACACTCAATACTTTCTTCTGTCATGTATGTCAGACGTGTCTTTTTCTTCTCTTAATCTCTACTGT